TCTCTGTTTGTCTTTGATATTTGCCATTTTAATGATGATGTGTCTTGGAGTGGGCCTCATTGTGTTCCTCATGAATGGGACCCTCTGTGCTTCCTGGATTTGTATGATTTTTTCTCTACTCAAGTTAGGGAAGTGTCCCATGATTACTTTTTCATACAGGTTCTCTATGCCTTGGTCCTCTTCTTCTCCTTCTGGTATCCCAATTATATGGATAATATTACATTTCCGGTTGTCCTGAACTTCCCTAAGTGCCTCCTAATTCTTTTTGAGTCTTTTTTCATTTTCTTGCTCTTTCTGGGAGCTTTTGTCTACTTTTTCCTCCAGCTCGCTGATTCAATCCTCTCCTTCATCTAGCCTGCTTTTGGTTCCTTCTACTGTGTTCTTCAGTTCAGAAATTGCATCCTTCATTTGCTCATGCTTTTTTTTTTATATTTTAAATAAGGTTTATTTACCAATTCTATAAATATAATTTTGATACCTTGTAAATACAATATACCCATTCAAATTTATTCTCAAAGACATTCAGTTGTTCTATCACTAGGTAAACTTTAACTCTAGAATTTGTGAATTTTAACTTCACTTAGCAGTATTTTCAAAGACTAAGATGCTTCTTTTTTTTTTTCCTTCATGCCTTTTATTGGTAATTTCTATGTACTTTTTCATGCTAATATTGTTTGCACTATGTTCCTCATAGTTTCTGTGTAGTTTTCATAATTCTCTTTGAGGTCACTGAGCTCACTGAGTTTCTTTAGAACTATTGTTTTGAACTCAATATCTGATAGTTGATTTGTCTCTATTTCATTTATTTCTCTTTGGGGGATTCCTCCTTTCCCTTTGATTGGGGGCGGGGGGTGTTTCTTGGTTTTCCCATTATTTGTGAGACTCTTATTTTTTGCTTCTGCTTCTTAAATTGATTTGTCTTGACTTCCTGACTCTGCGGTGTGAATTTTCATCGTAGGAGACTGGTCTTTTACTTTTTTTATCTCTGGATCTGCCTCTGATGATGTCTGCTGTTGACCCTGACTGACCTTAGGTAGTCTTTTAAAAGAGTCATTTAGACAGGAATCTCCTTCAGTTGTTAATCTAGTTACTCTGCTCTCAGCAGTCAGGCTTAGGCACCACAGGGCTGGGCAGGGTCCCTGCTGTGTGCGGGGTTATTATGTCCTCTCACATGCTGCCACTCAGGGGAGTCATCTGCCTGAGCAAGATGGCTGCTGCCATGTCAGAGAGGAGTTAGCGCTGGGTTCTCACCAGCTACTCCCTCAGTTCTCTCCCCAAAACCTCGGTCTACAGACAGTCCTCTAGAGTCTCTAGGTCACTTGCCACCCCCTTTGTCCCAGGATCTACTATCTGTGACTGCCGCTCTGTATCAGCAGTTGGGCTTGGGCACTACAGAGCCAGGGCAGAGGTTCCTGGTGGCCGGGCGATTGTGTCCTCTCACACTGCTGCCACTCAGGGAGTGGTCTGCTTGAGCAAGATGGCAGTTTCAGAATGGCAGATGAGTAAGCACCAGGACCCCAGCCACTACTCTCTCAGTTCCCTCCCCAAAGCCTCCTTCCCCAGTCTCTCATGAAGCAGCTCCAGCCCACTCTTTTCCTGCCTTTGCCTGAAACCATGGAAAGTGACTGCCAATACAAGTTTATGTGTTGGCCTTTTAAACTGCTCTTTGCATCTCCAGCTGTCTGTCTCTAGCAGAAAGCAACCCTGCCACTCTTCACAGCTGGCTCTTATCTGAGTACTTTATGGGCCCTGGTGCTGTAAGCTCAAGATCCCCGCCTATTGTTCAGACTTCACTGTTCTAGGGGGACCCAATTGGCCACTTAAATATCCCTCTGGCACTGCCACCCGTGGACGCCCCACCCCCCCTTCTTGAGTCTCTGCCCCATCCCTTACCAATTAGGTTGTGCTAAATCCGATTCCTCTGTCCATCCTAGGTTTTAAGGCTCCTCTCTCGCTATTGTTCAGTTGTTTTCCAGGTGATTTCTTCACAATTTAGTTGTAATTGTGGATTGGTCCTGAGAGGAGGTCAGTGTGATTTCCATTCACTCCTCTGCCATCTTGAAGCCTCCCTATCTACCCTATCTCTTTTGATTGCAGTATGTAATCCATTTATATTCAAGGTGATTACGATAGGTATATAATATTTGCCATTTTATCATATTTGTGCTCTTATTTTCTCCTTGTTGTCTTAAAGAATCCCTTTAACATTTCTTTTAATACTGGTTTGATCATGATAAAATCTTTTGGCTTTTCCTTCTCTAGGAAACTCTTTATCTTTCCTTCAATTCAAAATGATTGTCTTTCTAGGTAGAGTAATCTTGGTTATATTCATCATTTTGAATATTTTGAACCAATACCTTCTGACCTTCAAAGTTTCTGTTGAGAAATAAGATGTCAGTCTTATGGGAGCTCCCTTTTCTCTTGCTGCTTTTAAGATTCTTTTTGTCTTTATTCTTTAACATTTTAATTATGATATATCTTGGTGTAGTCTTCTTTGTGTTCATCTTGTTTGGGACTCTTGGCTTCTAAACTCGTATATCTATTTTCTTCATCTGCTTAAGAAACTTTCAGTCATTGTTTCTTCAAATAGATTTTTTAATTTCTTTCTCACTTTTAACCTTCTGGTACCCATATAATGTGAATGTTATTACCCATAATGTTGTCCCATAGGTTCCCTAAACTCCCCTTTTTAAAATTCTTTTTTTATTGTTATTGTTCCAAGCTGTGTGTTTTCCTGTACTTTGTGTTTTCAGTTGCAGATTCATCCCTCTTATTTATCTAATCTTCTGTTGATTTCTCCTAGTGTATATTTAATTTGTTATTTTATTCTTCATTTTGACTATTTTTAATGGTTCTTATGTCCTTCTATAAGTTTATTATCTCCTTGTTGAAGTTCTTACTGAGTTCATCTATTCCTCCCCTAATTTCATTGACAGTTCCAAGACATGGAATAGGGGTTGGCAAACTCGGGACAAATCTGGTTTGCTCCTGTTTTTGTAAGACATGTGGGCTAAGAATTTTTTGTTTTTACTCTCAAATTTTTTCTTAGTTCCCTTTTGTTATTCTAGAATGGTTTTTTAAATAGTTGGAAAAAAATGAAAAGAGGAAGGATATTTTAGGACATGAGAAAATTACATAAAATTTAAATTTCAGTATTTGTAAGTGAAATCTTATTGAGACATAGTGACAACCATTCATTTATGTATTGTCTATGGCTGCTTTCATACTGCAATGGCAGAAATGAGTAGCAGTAACTGAACATATAGCCCACAAAGTCTAAAATATCTACTATCTCATTCTTTACAGGAAGTTTGCTGAGCTCCAACTTAAAGCATGTAGACTTTTTCAAGGTTCTTTTCCTTAGGACCTAGGAATCCTCCCAGATTCATTAGCTTGCTTTGGCAGGTGTGAGGTAGCAGATGAATCCTGCAACACAATAGCACATTTTTGCCTGTATGAAAATGTGCATTTTACTAAGAAGAATATGAGAATTCCAGCTCTGAAATTCTCAGAATTGTCTTCTTTGTAAAGAAAGTTTTGGAGGCCCATAAGCTAACCTCTCTTTACCTACATTCCAGCTTTGGTCTGCAAAGGCCAGGCAATTTACTTACTTAGGAAATTTGTTTTGTACTTAGTGATATCATTACATCTAGATATTCAAATTCTGACTCCAGGGGCAAACCTGTCCAGGAATACAAATGGAATATAAAAAGGTGTGCAACAGATATGTGTACATCAGAGCCATTCTCGGATTTTCTTTGTAAACTGTCAGCCCTGGTTTGAAACTGAGAAAGTATGGTTCTTGAGTACAATGTATCTTGTTTGTTTTCTGGAGGATCAAAAAGGTTGTTTCATAAATGGTCTTACCTAATACACTCAATGATGTTGTTCAGCTGGACCTAAAAAGACATTTTCATTCAAGCCTTTCAATCAGAAATATCACTAACACCATTCTGAAATGTGAGTAAATTTAAACAGATTCTATTATAAAAGATGTCTTTTCCAATTCTCCACAGTGCTATGCATCACGGTGTAGCAGGGTCAGGGCTTTGGGAACAACAGACCTGGGTTCAGGTCCCCATTTTGTCACTGTTTTCTTAATTAGTTGTTAGCTCTGTGCTCTTTGCTTACTGGGCCTCAGTTTCTTCATCTTTCAAATAGAGATAAGATTATGTATCTCATAAAAATATTGTGAGATTTCAACAAATGACGGTGTTTAAATGTCTAGTACTCTAGGACCCAACATATTGTTGTGCTCAATAATTAGAATTTGTTTTTTGATAACAGTTTCTCACATATCTTTCCATACCATGCTTACATTTTCTCATTTGCTCTCCCTTCCTCTCTTTCTTTCTCTTTCTCACTATATTTCTCTCATTTCAAATCTGCCTTTGAAAATATTTTCCCATTCCCTGCCCCTTCTCCCTTCCTCTCCTTCCTCCTCCTCTCTCCCTCTCAATCTCTCTCTCCACACACACACCTCTTTCTCACACCCCTCATGCATACACACACACACATGTCCTAATCCTGTGTGTATGTGTTTGTGTAAAGGACTCAAATAAATCATCTATTATTTTTAGAAGAAATTGAGGCCAATAATTGGTTAATATTGCTTGGGATGGCCACGGATTGAATAAGGATTTGAACCTGGGTCCTCAGAGATCCTTTCTCTACGTATATACAAACCTGTGCCTGCATACTTACAGTAATCCCCTGTTTCATTTCTTAGTAGAAGTTATTGGCACTTCAAATGACTAGAAGGGAGTGGGGAGAGGGTAAGAGGTGAAAGAAGGTGAAGGGGCAAGCCAAGGAACATGAACAGAGGACTCATGCACCCGAACAATGGGAGGGGTTGACTGTGGGAGTTGGGGCAGGGGGCAGTGCAGGGGAGAACAATGAAGAAAAAGACAGGACAACTGTAACTGAAGAACAATTAAAAAATGTAATTTTAGTAACTAAAATGAACTTTTTCTTTCTTTTTTAAAAAATTTATTTTTCAGTTTCCCTTTCAAGACAATCTTTTTCAATCCATGTATTACCCTCTTCAGCTGAAGTTTTTGGAAACTGTGCATACTTTATGTGGACGAATCCCACAAGTTTTTCTGAAGCAAATTGAGAAAACAATGAAAAGGGCTTATGAGAAACACATCATCATCCATGTTGGCCCCAATCAGATGCACTGAATATTTCATCTTGTTGCAAGTCAATTAGGCATCTCATGAATGAGGAAATAGTCATCTTTAAGTTGCCTGGATCTTTTCTGTGTGAATATTTAATGGTGCTCCATGAAAACTAAGTTTTAAAAGCCTTGTCAAATACTGCTAGATTAGTTGCCACTATAAGGAAATATGCTTTAATTTTAATAAAATGTTTTTTATCTTTCTGGTTTTTAAAAATATACATATTATTGTACATTTAACATTTTTCAAACAGGTTGAGCTAGCTGTGAAGAGAAACTTTTGTGAGCTTTCCACAATTTCTCTTCAACGTCTGAGACAATATCAGTAGCAATTGAGGTGATATATTTATGTTGCATTCCTGCAACTCTTTCTATACGGTTGGCTTCCCCACACCTTTGTAATCAAATACATGGTTGTTGTAAAACAAATTAAAAACTTATGAAGAATATAGATCATTGAATCAAAATCACAATTAGATTACCCATAATCCTACTGACTAGTGAAAAAGATTGTTATTTTAAAATAGTTCCTTCCAGCTTTATTTTTCCTATTTCTAGATTTACTTGCTTGTTGTCTTTTCCACTGTAACATATATCTAAAACAAGTAGTCTGAATTAAAGCTGGCCTCTACGCTGAGATTTTTATGCAGGAAACTAACAAGTTAGACAAAATGATTATGTTTATAGCACTTAATTTAAAATGCGTCTGAGAGAAGCATTCAGATTTCAGTTAACTAGGCAATGTTAAAGAATGAAGCATATCTGAGGGTGTTTCTCTAAGAAAACTTATTTAGATTTTTTTAGAAAACTAAATCATAAGATATGTCTATGCAACCAGAGCTTCTGAAAGAAAATTGAGTAATCGCGTTGCACCTAAGGGGGTTTGTTTAACAAAGAGATAAAATTTTGTGTTTTCCCATAGACAAAAACTTTATCTCTTCCATCATCAGTAGGTGTGGCCTCCTCTCTTTAAACTCTTATACAACTTTGAATTTAATCTCCACAATATAAATAGTCCTGCTGATTCATTGGCCAGAAAATTCAACTACCTACCAGCCTTAGAAATGTCTCTTTAAACTTTTTTTTTCCTCTGGGGTTACCCTCCTTATAGCCTAAGAACAAGGCAGGTCTTATCACCCAGCTATGGGAAGTTCTATATTCTGTTCCCCAAAGAGATCTGATTTAATGCCTAGTTACTCATGTAGCTGGTATCAGCATAAGGGTGTTTTGCACCCTTTATTTGTGTCAAAAGACTTGTACATAAGTGATCTCCTTGATGTGTGCAACAGCCCTGTGAATTTAGTAGGGACCTGTATTATTTCCACAGACCAAATAAGTAAACTGTAACATAAAGAAACAAACATACTCAATATATTTGCTATTCTATAAAACACAGAGATATGTGGAAGATACATCCTGTTTTACAGAGAAACATTTGGGAAAAAATATTAAATGCTTTTCATTATATGTAAACAGCAATTTGAAGATATAAAATTAAAAATATTATTTTGTTAATATAATGTGGTATCTTATATATAGGAATCCAGTAGGACATATGTTCTATATCAGCAGAAAAAAAAAGTCTTACCCTGAAAAAGTAAATGAAAATCTCAGCATTACAACAATTATATGCATATCAATCAATATTGGTATGCATCACCATTGTGGTAGTAATAAATTTAAATCCAAAATGTTAGAGTAATAACCCACATTTTCTCTTTGATTATTTGGGTGACTTGTGGTTTGTTTATTTATTTATTTTTTTTGTTAAGGAAATTACTATCTTTGTTGTTGTGTTTTATGTTTTCTCAGTTTACCATATTTTACCAATAAAGATGACATCATTCACTATTTTGTATCTGAAGGATGGGGGCAATTTTTGGACTCTTTTTCCATGGGGAAAATGCATCCTATATACCCACAAATAGGATTTTAGTAAAAGAACCAGGATGTGAACATGATTCCCTGACTTCCATTACAATTTTCTTTGTATTTATTTTGCATGACCTGTAAAACCTACAAATGTTCCCTTAGATTTGTTGGTGGCTCACAGACCTAAAGAAGTAACTTTCTTCTTTTGGCAAGAACCACAACAAACTGCTATTAAAGACTTTTAATACAGCCATGCCTTTTGTTTTATGAGAGCCAGGTTTACCCTGGAACTTTTTTTAAAATTAATTCATTAATTAATTTTTTCAAATACATTTGTCTCTGCCTACCCCCACCACTTTCCCTTGCCCCATCCCTACCTCCCTCAGCTCTTCCCCTTTGGTTTTGTCAATGAGTCCTTGCTATATGTTCCTTGACTTGCCCCTTCCCTTCCTTTTCCCCTGCCCCTCCTCCCTCCTTCCCTCTTGTCTCTGTTGGTTTCTTTTCCTTTCAGTGTTGCTGGTCTTATTTTCCTTGCATCTTTGTATTGTTGGTTAGGTTCCACTTTTAGGTGAGATCATATGGTATTTGTCTTTCGCCCCCTGGCTTATTTCGCTTAGCATGATGCTCTCCAGTTCCATCCATGCTGTCGCAAAGTGCAGTAGTTCTTTTTTTCTTTCTGCTGCATAGTATTCCATTGTGTAAATGTACCATAATTTTTTGATCCAATCATCTACTGATGGGCATTTAGGTTGCTTCCAACACTTGGATATTGTAAATTGTGCTGCTATGAACATTGGGGTGCATAGGTTCTTTTGAATTGGTGTTTTTGGATTCTTATACCCTGGAACTTTCAACTGTTGGTTCTGGTCTTAACATGCAGAATAGGATTTCCACCAACATTGAACTCAGGAACATTCTAGAATGATGTATTATGAGAATGTAAAATCTCAAAATTCGGTGTGGTTTTCTGCCTTGGAATCCTTTTTCAGTATCCTGAAATTTTAGGTAGCATGGTGGAGAATTTAGAGAAAATTTCCTCTTCCATTCCCAGCTGCTTGAACTTATTATTTTCTATAGTTAGAATGCTACCATTGGGTAGTATGTTCTCTGCCTTTGATAATTCCTAGGGAACTACTACATTAGTGCCTTGGAAATTTGGTAATTCCAAATTTTAATTCAGTGGACTCCGAAAACATGTAGTCTGTGGTCTGAAGTTTGACAAAGGGCATTTTGCCTAATCTCTATGGAAAGGGCACAACACTCGTTCTCTCCTGTCCTGTCTTCTTCTCTCCTCATTTCCTTTAAAGTTCTGTTTAGGGCATATGACTATGAAATCCCATTGGTGAATGAAAAACACTTTCTAATAGCAAAATTTGGCAATATTTTTGTATGCATTGAGATTGAGATTTTCATTATCTAAGTAACTAGAAATGCTGACAATATTTTTCTTGCTGAATTTTTTTCCCAACATAAATATCAGAAATTGTGACTTGCATTAAAAATTCCAATATTTAAAAAAATTAACCAGCTAGAAAATCTACTTAAGCTTTCCTTTAATTTCCAAAATGACAATTTACAATTTAGAATATAATGCTTCAAGCTTTACTATTTATTTGAGATTTCTATTATGTTTTCAATGCTTCCATTGCAAGTTGTTACTTTTACTGAATTTATTATTGAAATGAGTATTTAGACAAACTCATAGCAGTTTGAGAATATTTATCTTATTGCAATTATGATTTCATAAAACAAACTGTAAAAACCTTATTCACAGTCACAAAATAGTGACCCAATAATGGGATAACCACTTCAAACCACCTTGAAACAAGACAATATCCATAAATATTTAGGTAAATGTAGAAATGGTGCCTGATATTTATACTAAAAAGATAAACTGGATGTTAGATAAGCCAAAATGAACATAATTTTATGACAAAATTCAGCAAAATGTGGAATTCAGGAGTATGTTTAATTGCATGAAAGTGCAAATTACTATATTCTCACTCAATAGAATGGTAGGGAATCTTTCCTATGTTTTATTATTATTTTTCTTTTACTTTTTCAACTTCTTTTTTTTCATTTTTGCCTTTCTTGGCTTTAGTGGCAGAATGACAGAACTTGGGGATCTCTGTGTAGGAGGACTAAATCCTAATCATTATGTTAAATTTTTATGATAATAACTTTCTAAACATTAAAAAAAAACACAAAATCCATACATAGACATAAATGTGTGTACACACACACACACCCCCACACATACCCCCACATCCCTTTTAGAGGAACCATCATTTGTTGTGGTTTGTGAACTGAAGAATTATAGTGAAATCTTATGTCATATCACTTCACAATTGCAGTGCTTGAATTTAAAGCTGATGAGATTACCCTGGCAAACAGAGAAATTTGTCCTAGGTTTTCTTCCTCACAGGTCAAAACTGGAAATATTTTTTTGAGACTTCAAGATCAAATATTTGTATCTCTGTTATCATATGCATGCACATATAAGAATCATAGGCAATATTTGCTTCATCAATTTTACATGTTTGCATTGTCACTGAAAATTGTACCCATTGTTTATAGCTCCCAAGGAGAACCTGGTTGCATTTTTTTATGTTGGGAATTTTTTTTAGTATTTTGGGGTGTGGATAGCATAAAAAAAAAGAATAAAGGAAAGGAATTATTATAGCAAAAATAAACGGAACATAAGTACTATAATTTAATTACTGATTTCTCTTTTTAAATACTTCTGCTGTTTTACATTTTTTTAATTAAAAGCTTTAATAAAAGCCTTATGGTGGTAATTTGGAAGTATGTTTCTTATCTTACATTAAGATTTCATTTGTTAAAATTTATAATATTAAAAAAATAATACATTAAAAAAGTAATATTGAAAAGATAAATATTAAAAAAGTAATAATACATAAGAAGTTCTAACTAGTTAAAAAAAATGGTTTAGCAGTAGCTTAGCTACTTTTAAAAATCATTAAATGTGCTTTATTAATTGCCATAAAAAATCCTCATGTATCAATAATCATTTTAAACACAAATGGACTGAACTCACCAATTAAAAGGCACAGAGTAGTGGGTTGGATAAAAAACAAAACCCAAATATGGAAACACCACAGCTGCAATGAG